GCATCGTGAAATGGCAGTGTCCAACTAATGTCTTTGAACTGTCTGCCAGGTGGCAAAATTGCTCTCCATCTCATGATAGAGTCTGAATAAAATCATGCCTATTGTCACTGGACCCATATTTCCACGGAGAGAAAGAAGAAATGAAGGGAAATGCAGATCCATGGAAGACGGCTCAGTGAGTAAAAAATAACCTGTGCAAGCTTGATGATGTGAGCTCAACACCTGGAAATCATATGAAAAGCCAGATTCGGTGCATACATATGGAACCCCAGAACTCCTACAAGAGGGGCGGGACAGAGATGGAAGAAGTGCTCAGAAGCCCCAGGGCCAGCTTCCCTGTAGGACACAGAAGCAGTAGCAAGTAAAACTGCCTCCAGCAAGGCTGAAGGAGAGAACCAGCTCCAGAAAGCTATCCTCTGACCTCCATGTGTACGTCAGAGCATGTGCAAACCTGCAGGCACACACATGCACAGCACACACACACAAATAATAACAATAAATATTTTTAAATTGAATATTGGACTGTGTACTGACTGGTTTTGTTGACTTGAAAAAAAAAAAACCCTTGATTATCTGGGAAAAGAACTTCAAATGTCTCCATTGGATGGCCTGTGGGCAAGTCTGTAGGACATTTCCTTGATGAATGACTGGAGTGGGAGGGCCTAGCCCACTGTAAGCGGTGCCAGTCCTGGGCAGATAGTTCCGGGCTGTATAGAGAAAGCTGGCTGAGAACAAGCCAGTAAGCAGCACCTCTGCGTGATCTGTGCCTCATCTCCTGCCTCCGGGTTCCTGCCTTGAGTTCCCACCTTGGCTTCCTTCAGTGGACCATGACCCAGGATTTGCAACCCGAACAAACGTTCTCCTAATTCCCTTTGATCATGCTATGTCATCACAGCTGGTGAGACGGCTCGATTGGGTAAGAGCGCTGGCCACTAAGCCTGACAACCTGAGATCCATCCTCAGGACCCAAATGGTAGAAAGAGAGAACTGACTCCTACGCGTTGTCCTCCCTTGAAATGTGGTGTGCTCATACCCGCCTTGTGTGGGCCGAAGCCAAGTGGGGAATGATGTGCTGCCTTCTTCCTGTGGTCGGCTGCTTCCTATTTTCTTGTCTATTCACACTCAGCCTCCCAAAGTGCTTGGTCCCTCCCGCCTACCTCCCTCAACACACAATGCATAAACTAAAATGTAATTCATTTTTAATAGTTTTTTTAAATTATTTATTCTCCGTATTGGGTATTTTGCCTGCATGTTTGCCTATGCAGCGCATGGATGCCTGGTGCCCCATGAGGCAAGAAAAGGGCACTGGATCCCCTGGAAATGGAGTTACAGATAGTTGGGAGCCATCATGTTGGGATCAAACCCAGGTCCTCTGAAAGAACACCCAGTAGCATTAACCACTGAGCCATCTCTCCAACCCCCTAATAATTTTCCTTAAAAAAAAAAAAAAAAAAGAAGATACAGCATGTACTGGGTGGTGGTCAGAATATGTCAGGTGGTGATCACAGCTATGAAGAAGAAAACAGGACAAAGAGGCCAGATGGTGACAGTGTGAGATTTGTCATCCTGAGCTAGACTCCCAGGGACATACTGAGAGGACACGCTGGGTCCGTCACTCTCTGCAGTAGGAGAGAACACGCTCAGCCGGCATCTTCAGCTAACTCAGAGAGCATCCAGGACTCTCGGAGGACTGGGGCTGAGTTGGATGATTGGGTGCAGTTTGAGAAAGCAGGTGTTGGTTTTGGGTTGGCTGGGGTCAGGAAGTACGAGTAGTTCTGTGCTGTCTCTGTTGAGACAGGGCCAGGCTGGTGCCCCACTGGAGATAACCAAGGGTGATATTCAAGTCTCAATACCCCTGCCTCTACCTCCCAAGTACACGTGGCACCACGTCTGGCGGTCTGAGACGGGATGTCTTGATTCCATGTGAAGGTGGGAGAAGGAAAGCAACAGTCTCTGACAGTCGTCTGAGGAAGTGTAACCACACTCACAACGTGAACAATGCATTCTGACATCATTACAAAGAGGTTCCTTTCTGTCTTGATACACCCAGAAACTGGAAACAACCTAGATGTCCCTCAGCAGAGAAATGGATATAGAAAATACAGTACATTTACACAATGGAATACTGCCTTAACTATTAAAAATAAAGACACCCTGCAATTCGCAAGCAAATAGATGAAACTAGAAAAGATCAGCCTGAGTGATGTAAGATAAACATATGCTCACTTACTAGTGGATATCAGCCATGAAGTACAGGATAGGCGTGCTACAATCCACAGACCCAAGGAGTGCCCAGGGGAAGATGCTTCAGTCTCACACAGACATCTGGGTGGAGGGAGGGAGGGAACTGGAAGGGAGAGGGGGCGAGGAGGGGAGCAGGAAAGATCAAGTGTGGGGAGGGTTGTGGGAGAGAGAACTGGGAGAAAGAGCTGGAATTAGGGGAGGGGCATCTATGGGACAAGCAAGAAATCTAAGACAATGGAACCCCCCAGGAATCTATGAGGGTGACTCCTAGCAATAGGGGACATGAAGCATGAAATGGCCATCTCCTGTAACCAGTAAAGACTTCCAGTGAAGGGATGGGGATACCAACCCAGCCACTAAACCTTCAACCCACAAGGTTTCCTGCCTATAAGAGGCACATAGATAAAGAGGGAGGGAGAAGAAATTGAGAGAATGGCAACCAATGCCTGGCCCAACTTGAGTCCCATGCCATGAGAGAGAGAGAAACCACCCCTGACACCATTACAATATTCTGCCATACTTGCAGACAGGAGACTAGCATAACTGTCAGCTGAGAGGCTTCACCCACCAGCTGATGGAAACAGATGCAGAGAACCCATAGCCAAGCTTTAGGCAGAGCTCGGTGAGTCTTGTGGAAACCAGTGGGGGGAGGATAGAAAGAGCCAGAGAGGTTAAGGGCGCCACAAGAAAACCTACAGTACCAACTAACCTGGGCCCATTGGGGTTGACAGAGACTGAACCACCAACCAGAGGGCATGCACGGGACTGACTTGGGTGCTATGTCAGGTCCTCTAGCAGCAAGCATCCTTAGCTCACTGAGCCATCTCTCCAGCAGCAATAAAATTTAAGTAAATAAATAAGTCATTCAGGAAATTGTTATGTCGCTACTTCCCCCTAACCAACGCCTTCATTGTTAGAGAGGTCAAAGAGGAAGGCTCTGAAGACTCATGAAGCTTAGAGAGTCGGCAGACACATGAGGTGCCTTCCGCCAAGGCTGTGTGAAAACAGCCAACAACCGCTGGAAGAGGGAGCCTCTTCTGTGAAGATGGTCGCGCACAGAGCTCCGGGAAGGCATCACCCGTGCGGGGATGAGCAGCGGTGCAGCTGCCTTTGACTTATCCACTCCTCTAGGGAACTCGAGTGAAATCATCGGCTCACGAAACTGAACTGGGTTGGAACCCTTTCTTTGCCATGTGTGCCCTGCCTGCACTGCGCAGGACTTTCCTCCTCGTGTCTCCCTGGGAAAAGTCACTCAACACTAGGTTCCACAAAGGATAAGCCCCTAATGGAGAGAAAGAAAACCAGGAAGCAAATTTGGGGGACCTGCCTTCCTGTGCTAGTTTTGCGTCAACTTGACGCAAGCCAAAGGCATCTGAGGGGAGGAACCTCATCTCCATAAGATCAGGCTGCAGGTAAGCTTATAGAGCATTTACTTAATTAGTGATACATAGGGGAGGGGCCCATCCCATTGTGGGTGGTGCCATAGCCAGACTGGCTATCCTGGGTTCTACAAGAAAGTAGGCTGGGGTAGCTGGATAGGTGGCTCAGAGGTTAAGAGCATGTGCTGTTCTTCCTTCAAAGGTTCTGAGTTCAATTCCCAGCATAACCATCTAGTGAGATCTGTTGTTCTCTTCTGGCCTGCAGGCACATATGCAGGCAGAACACTGTGTAAGTAATAATTTTTTTTTTTTTTTTTTGTAAGGAAGGAAGGAAGGCTGAGCGAGCTAGTAGGCACCACCCCTTCATGGCCTCTCATCAGCTCTTGCCTCCAGGTTCCTGCCATGTTTGAGCATCTGTCCTGACTTCCTTTCATGATGAACAGTGATACAGGAATTTAAGCCAAATAAACCCTTTTCTCCCCCATTTGCTTTTGGTCCTGGTGTTTCATCACAGCAATAGAAACCAAGGCACTTCCGCACCAGCCTCATCCAAGCCACACATGGATCTCTCTAGCTCTGCTAGGGAATTCCTTGACAAAGCATCGACCTCAAAGAGGACACAGGGTGAGTCAGCTAGCCCATGCAAAGCTTAAGGGAGAAGCTGCCACCATAGACACTCACTGTCTATGCCAGAGGATATGTAAATGTTCAAGAAATTAAGTCACCATCAAAGCAAACATTTACCTCCTAGGGAAAAGGAAACACTTTCTGCCTTATTTAAATCAAAAGGTTTATATTTCTGTAACAAAACAAATTTATTCAGCAACTTAGGAACTACAACCTAAGTTTTAAGTACAGAAATAAGCATGTTAAAGTAGTGTAAGTGTCACGGTATCCTGAACATAAAGGTCACACAGTGTGGAAGCAGTTGATTGCAGCCCACATTTTCTCAGCTGCCCCCTTGGGACAGCAAACCTTCTGTTGGGGTTGGTCTGATACAGTGTTTATTCTGACACTGATTTCTGTGGTTGCAGGGTGGATATCGGCATTGTCTCGATCGGTGATCAGTGTTGTGTAAACATTGCTCCCCAATTATCTCTGATTGGTTAATAAAGAAGCTGGACAGCCTGTAGCTGGGCAAGAGAGGACTGACCTGATGGGGATGAAGCAGCCAGGGGCATGTAGCTGGAAAGTAGGCAGACTAGCGTAGCATAGCGGGTTAAAATAGATCAATATCTGCCCAGCTCTAGTGCCTTAAAGCTTGTTGAATAAATCTATAGGTCTTTGTCTTGTTATTTGGGAGTTAGAACGGGTAATTAGAAAAGCCCCCCCCCCCCCGTGCTAATTATACCATATCACAACAAACTCCAGACTTACCAGGAGGTTTTCTGGCTTCAGGTCCCGATGGACAATCTTTTTGTCGTGCATATGGACGAGGGCCTTGCACAAGTCTGTGATCATGACCGCGGCATCTGGCTCCGGAAACTTCACACTTTCTATGATGGCATCAAAAAGGTCCCCTCCCTGCACGTACTCCATGATCAGGTAGATCTCTGCTTCCGTTTCATAGACCTCATGCAGCTTCACTATGTTGGGGTGAGAGAGGCTGCGGATGATTAAGATCTCACTGTCAACTATGTCCTCTTTACCCTTCAGCTTGGACTTGTCAATAATCTTCATGGCATAGGCCTGCTTGGTCTCGCGGTGCTTGCACTCCTTCACCACGGCGAAGTTCCCATCCCCAATGACCCGACCTATGTCATAGTGCTTCTCCACATCAGCTGAGATGATGCCCAGGGGCCAAAGCTTCCGGCCGCTGGACCGTTCTGACCTGTTCTCTTCTGGCTTCGTCTTGGGCTCCTTTTCTAGCACCATCCTCCTCCCTCCCGACCCACCTGGCTTCTTCTCATGCTCTGCTTCCTTCTCTTCCCCTCTTGTCCTGGGGAGCTGTGGGGGCTCGGCCTGGCGCTCCCTGAGCAGCCAGGCCGCATGCTTACTCCTGCACGTGTGCCTGCTGTCTTTCCTCCCGACCGCAGGCCCCTCCTCTGCAGCGGGTGGACCCTCCGTGATGTCCTTCTGGGCCTTGGCTGCTCCCTGAGGATGACTTTCTGACCCTTCTGAGCCTCGGCTCTCTTTCCTGTCTGAGTTGGTGCTGGGTCTCCTCAGTTCCTGGGGGGGGTTCCTGGGGCTGCCCCGAAGACTGTCACCCTTCCACCCTTCCTCTCCGTCTGCAGACTTTGCCTCAGAAGGCCTCCTGCAGCTCTTGGTCCTCACCAGCTTCTCGGAATCCCACTTCTGACCCCTCCCCAGGTCCAGCTCACTGATCCCCAGAGGGCACAGCTCCTGCTGCAGGCCGAGCTGCAGCTCCCTTTCCCGTTTACACTTCTCACACCTGACGATCTCCCCCGAGGTCTTTTCAATCTCCACCCCCAGATGCTTCTCTCCACTTGCATGAGTTTCCTCCTGAGCCGCTTCCCTGGGTGATGGCAGGCCAGCGGGTTCCGGCTCCTGCTGCCCCCTCGCCCACTTCTTCTGGGCCCTCAGCTTGTCTTCCAGGGCCAGCTCCGCAGAAGTCTTGCCCTGAAGCCTGGTGACCGCCCTGCTCCCCATTACCTCGCTACAGCTCCCCACCTCCCCACAGCGGTGGCTGCCTTTCAGGAGCTTGCTGGGAAGTCTGCTTCTCAGCCTTGGGGAGGGGACTCTGCTGTGCGGGGCCAGGGAGAGGGCCCGGTTCTTGGGATACAGCTCTTCCATCGCCAGCTGGATGCTCTTCAGGGTCAGCGGCTCCTTGCCCATAGCTATGAAAGCATCGCCCTCCCTGAAGAAGTCAGACACGCTCTTGACCTCCCTGCCCTTGAGGGTGAACAGCTTCCGCACACGGTCGTTCTTGCACCGCGGAAAGCCCAAGGCTTCAGAGATGTCCGCTAGGAGCTGCTCAAAGGTCTGCACCGAGCGCCTGTTAAGGAGCAGGGTGGCCTTGCGGAACGGCTGCCCACCAAGCTTCACCACCGTCACCACCCTGGGCTTCAGCGGGCTGTGCTCCGCACGCACCGCGTGAAGGCCGCTCTGAGGGCTGAACATGGGCATGATGGCAGCCCGTGGCCCCAGGGCTGGCTTTTCCAGAGGCCCTCGTCCCGCAGGCAGCCAGGAGCCTGGCAGCTTTCTCTCAGGGATCTTCGAGCTTAAGCATCTTAGAGAATGGTCACATGGGTGGCCTGCAACAGGAAGAAGACAGAGGTTAGTCAAAGTGGGTCCAGACAGTCCTTTGGACTTCATCAAACTTGACTGACCAAAGAGCTGGAAGTATAATCAGTCACAGAGCAGGTGGCCAGCACACAAGAAGACTTGGGTTTCATTTCCCAACCACAGACATATACACACATACATACATACATACATACATACATACATACATACATACATACATATATACATACATACATACATACAAACAAATACTACTGTCACTGTTAGAGAAACCTAGACTCAGAGTCTGGTCCACTGAACACAAGTTAAAGCCCTGAACTCTCTGCCTAGGATGCAAAATGAAGCTAAACATTCCAGAACTTTAAGGGTCTCTGATCTTTTCCATCCTTTCGCCCAGCTAGATTTTCAGCTCCTGAAGGGAAGGCAAGTGAGAAGACAGCGAGGCCGTAGCAGCTGAAGCAGCCCAGGATTTCCTTCCTGGGGTGATCTCTTACTATTTCTATACACTTGGGCAGAGTTTTTGTGCTTCCATGTTTTTTTTTTAATCTATGACAATATGAAGGGTGACATTTTCCTCCGAGTTTGGTAAACAGGAAAGTGGTTATAGTTCATTTAACAAAACACTGACAGTTACCAATACTTAGCTTACAATCTTAGTATTAGCTCTTGTGTTATCAGTTCATTCCGTTAAGGTACAAGTCTGTGCACAGCTTTGCCTGGCATCATAAACACTGCCGGGCCAATGGATGGGGCGTGGAGTGGGGTGCTGAAGCTCTAACTGGCAGTTTGCACAAAAGGTTGGCGTAAAGATCTTGAAGATTTTAATCCAAGTAAAGAAACCTCATTCTCTAAAATATCTTTTTTCTCTCTCTCCTGATTTAAAATGTGTATTTCAGGGTTACAATGTGTGGTCAACAATTACAGTGTACCAAACCCTGGATTCTATCCCAGCACCAAAAAGAAGAAAGGAAGAAAAAGCCCGGGTGTGCTGACACACGCTTGTAACCCCAGCACTGGGGATGCTGTGGCTAACTGCGGTAAGTCTGAGACCAGAGCCTGGGCTCTACAGAGTGCCAGGCTAGCAAGCTACAAAACGAGACCCTGTCTCAGATAAACAAACCATGCCCAGTGTGGTTTGTACTGGATTCCCCGCATGCCCGTAGCAGCTCACAAACACTGTTCCAGTGGAGCCAACATCCATCCTGGCCTCCTCTGCCGCCAGACATGCATGTGATGTACCTATTTACAAGCAGAAAAGAAACCATCCTCAAAAAATAAAATAGTAATGAGATTAGTTTGAAAGGGTTGTAAGCAGCGGGCAGGAGAGATGGCCCGGTGGTTACGAGCACAGACTGGTCTTGCAGAGGATGAGTTCAGTTTCCAGCACCCATGTCAGGCAGCTCACAACCACCTGTGACTCCAGCTCCAGGGAATCCAGCGCCTCCTTCCGGCCTCTGCGGGCACCAACACTCACAGTTGCACAAACCCCCCCACACAAAAATATCTTAAAGTAAGACCAAAAACATTTTTAAGTAACTATATTGTCTAAAATTTCAAAGTGATTACCTGAAAGTGTATTTGAATCAAGCACAGCAGAAACCCCACTTGTGCACGGAGGGACAGCTTGGCCCACATGTCCACCCAGAAGGTGTTTTGTTTTTTAATTATAACATACAATCTGTTCTGAGACAATTTCTAACTAGGCACATTGTCGATCAGATGACAGAGTAGTAGCTGGCGCTGGTCTTCCCACATGCCATGAATTTATGAGCTTGACAATCACAGTTACAGTTAAGGGATTTATTTATGGACATCTGTGATACTCCTCCCAATCACTCTGCCCCGGTCGTAGGCAGCAGGAACGCTGATCTGAACTCCCCGCATGGTGGACCTGAAGAAGCCTGTGAGGGAAGGTGACCATGAAATGCACATGAGTGAAGGGCTGGTGAAGAGCATAAAAAAATTAGGATCCTCATATGGGGTAGAACCTTGACTCAGACTTCTCAGAGTCTTAGCTGAGAAGTCAACGTGTTAGAACAAAGAACGGTATCTCAGCCAATATTCCAGACAGGGGCTTCCCCAAGTAAGGGCAGAGAAAGGACCAAATATTGGCTTGGGCCAGAGACTACCTCCAGGAAAAGTCAAGGGACAGATCAAATGCAAATATCAGAAGGAAGAGCATCAAGAACAATTGAAGGACAGGAGTTGACTTGAACCTTCAGCACTAAATAGGGCTGAAACCCCTGGTAGAGGGGCTCAGGACCCTGCCATGGCATTGGTTGTCCATGTGGTCCTGAGGTTGCCACAAGTAATGCAAAACTCAAGGTGGAGAAATTAAGAGAAATGGTTGGTCTCTACATGGGAGTGTCAAACCAAGGGATGATACAAGCCTTGCTGGGAGAAAGCACTATTGGAGCTGAGAAAGTAGCAAGCTCTGAGGTAACCATGGGAAGCTAAATTCCAATCCCTGCCTTGAAAACCCATGGGCTTTGGAAGAGAAGCACCCTCTATTCTGAGGAGGAAGAGAGAAAGGGGCCTCTGAGGACAGACAGACAAAGAAACAGCAAATTCACTGGTGGATATTCATTATGAAAGGAGGCTTAGGAAGACCCCAGAGGGAGGTCTTAGATGATACTTCAGGGTGGTGTGAAGCTCGTGACACGGGACCACCACTAGATGGCCTCCACATTAGAGAGCAACTTAGGAAGATGCGAGCCATAATGGAACCTGTAACCTCAAGAGCCCAAACACTGTAAGACCATAACATGCGTTTTCTGATGGGCAGCTTGACCTCATTGGGATAGGTAGACTTAGATGTTTTCAGAAGACTCTACCCAGAGTTTTCATGGATCCTTGGAAGCTAGGAGAACAAGCTGATGGTACCATTTCTCCAACCCAAGAAGACAGCCTAGGACACAGTCAAACGGAATGTAAAGACAGAACAGTTCTGTTTCCACCACAGAGCATCAGTTAGGCTCAGTCTGCTACCTAGACACCCAGATCATTGGAAGCTCCGTAGTCTGAAAGAAATCAGAGAACCTAGTCTGCCATCCCCCCAACAACACTGGCCCTACAGAGTTCTCGGTACAGCAAGGAGCTAGGGAGCCCCGGGAAAATGCAGCTGTGTTGCTTTTCTCGTAGAAGCAAGTTGAGGATGGAAATGTTCAAGGACTACAGCTCACCAAGGTGGGAAGGTCACGGAAGCAGGAGAGTGGGGAAGCTGCTTACTTCCCACCCGTACTCAGAAAAAAGTGAAATGGAGGCTGGTGTTTCAGCTCCTTCTTTTTGTTCAGCCCAGGACTCCAGCCCATGGAATGGTAACACCCCGGTTACCACAGATTGCCCATCTCGATTAGCTTGACCTGGAAGCTTCCTTGAGAACATGCTCGTACATTTGTCTCCTGGGTGACTCTAGACCCTTTCAGGTAGACAACCAAGATCATACAAATTAACAGTGTCGACATTTGACGAGCAAGCATCATCACTGAGCAGACCTGCTGAGTGACTTGAAACTGGAAGGGAAAGAATTTGTGACCACAGACGTTCGTTGTCCATAGGGAAAACCACCAAGGAAAGTGCATGAAGAACAGCTGGGCAAGTGTGGTCCATTTGCTCAGAATTTGGGAAAATTTCCTTTTGCAGCTGTAACATTGAATGCAGGGTGAGAAGGCAGCCATTAAATCCCGAGTCTCATTAGCTGTGTGCACGCAAGAATGTTCTATAATCCCTCTGAGTTTCAGATTCTCTGCCTGCCTGTCATTTTGGAAAAGAAAAGTTCACTGAGGAAATGCTCCATCAGATTTGCCAGACACGTCTGGGGGGGGGCAAGTCCACTGTGGAAGACACCACCCCTTGGCAGATGGGCCTGGGCTGTATAAGAAAAAGAGCTGAGGGTGAGCCTGGGAGCATTCCTCCATGGTCCCTGCCTCTGCTCCTGCTGGAGTTCCTGCCCTGACTTCCCTCCAAGAGGGACTGTGATTCAGGAAATATAAGCCAAGCAAACCCTTTCCTCCCCAAGGGGCTTTTGGTCGTGGTATGTACATAGCAATAGAAAGCAAAGTAGAACACTGCCCAACAACCATCATGTCTCATTCACACTGAGGTAGCTGGCACGCTCCTCCATCTGGATGGGCTTTCCAATGGTGCTGGGTTTTCCACATTCTGAAAGAAAATGTGTCCTGCAAGTTTGAGTTTCCCCCAAATCCATGTACACCATTTTTCATTTATTTACTTATTTGTTTGTTTGTTTATTCACTCTACCTCCTGATCATAGCCCCCTTCGTCTCCTCCTAGTACCCCCCTCAAACATCCCTCCCTCCATTCTCCCCTCACTGTCTCTTCAGAGAAGGGGGAGGTCCCCATGGGTAGCAACCCATCCTGGCACATTAAGTCGCTGCAGGACCAGTCACATCCTCTCCCACTGAGGCCAGATAAGGCAGCCCACCAACCAAAGAGCCCACATGGACTGATCCTAGCTCCCCTGCACATATGTAGCAGACACGCAGCTTGGTCCTCATATGGGTCCCCCAGCAACTGGAGCAGTGGCCTTCTCTGACTCTGATGTCTTCCTCTGGATCATATACATCCTGAGGTCAAAGAGAAGAGATGCTAAATGTGATCCAGGAGTATAAGTTTGTTGTTTGTGTAGTAGCTGAAAGAGATTCTCCAGCAAACCTAAGCATACAGGCCCTCTGGAAAGATAACTTAGCTTTCTGCTTGCTTGTCCTAGGATGCTCCAGGGCTGGTATGAGCTAGAATGCCCACTGACGGAGCCATCCTGCCATGGCACTATGACCTGGGATTGGTTTGACTTCAAGACTCATTGTCTAATGCCTGCTGCTGCAATGCAGATGAGGTCACATGACAAGATTCCATGGTGACCAGCTCTGGGAATTACAGTAACCCAGCTTCCTCTTTAATTATTTATCATGACTTCTCACAGTTGGAAGACTCGCTGCCAGGTGTACACTCAAGACAAAATAACAAGAGCCTAATATTTTTTTACGCT